ACGGTAAAAAATATTTTGTCTTTTAATCCTAATGCTCTGAATTGAGGCCCGACATTGTAGTTGACATTACATACATGTACATGTATCAGTATGTACATGTACAATGACCTAAACTGTAATTGAACAGTTGAAACCCATGATGGTTACATGATCCTCCTATTTCTGTGCACCTACCATAGGTACATGTAAGGCTTTGAAACAAGATTTCCAGAAAACTACTTGCAGTAAAAATGTTTCAGAGGTGATTTTATTTCTACAACTTAGTCTGTCATCCAAGCAATTCACATAAAAGAGTCACTTCTTTTTGTGCCCAGGAGTAGGCGGCTCTTAGTGGGTTTGACCAAGTGTGTGTAAAAGTTCCTGTCTAAACCTACGCAACTTAACTGGCTGTTTTTGAAATCTACGGTGGCCAAGACGTGCCACACAAGGAAAAGGTAAGTCCTGGTGTTTGGCATTGTAACAGTACATAATTCTTTGAATATTAAAGCAATGTAAACAGCTTCAAACTTCAAATCTTCCAGTAGTCATTTCCAGTTTGTTTGGATAACTTTCTCAAATCAGTAATGGGGAAATTAATTTTAATAAACAGTATTTTTATCTAATAACATGAGGTTCCTTGGTCTGTCACTATTTAACATTCTTACATAATAAATCACAAGTAAAGTCTCTTAATGTGTCCTTTGCTTGTCATTTACTTGTCACTTTTGACAGTCTTCACGAGCCCAAGGGCAATTCCATGATAGAATGGACATGGCCCTAAAATTTCATATCAATATTTGAAAGCCATTATCTTTAAAATATTGATTCATATGGTTCAAGATTTGTGGAACAACTTAAAATGACTGAATTGTTGCAAAATTTTTGGAGAAATGATCATTTGAAGTGAAATGGTAATTTTGAACTGAAAGTTTTCCAAAAGTGGGAAATTCTTTGTTGGTTTTATTTTATGGAAATTTAAAGGATGATCTAGTCTGTTACGCATTTTCTGTATTACCGGTAAATATGACACTAGAATTCAGACTTTAAAAAAGGAGAGGCTTGACTTATTTCATGAGGACGTTGTGACTCAATATTCAAAGCACTTCTACATGTAGGTAGTGTAAGGTAATGTGTAATGTGGGTCGTTTGGCGGCTGCCCGAGGTGCCCTTGTATGCCATCAGCTCAACCATATTTTTAAAAAAAATGTATTCATTGTTCCACGCTTAATGTCTTCATTGTACAGCACATTTGAACATATCTACCGGTATATGAAATTTGCGCTTTACAAATAAATAAATTATTATTATTTTTACCAAAATATGACTTTTTTCCCTAGTGAATATGTTTCTTAGTTTCAACAGTTGCCTTTTTCAATTATCGTTCTCTTGATGATCCCCAATGTAAAAACTGGGTTCCATTAATGATGTGACTATTCACTGTTCAATGCGGCGAGGTAATGGAAGTTGTAATGTACATGTAACTGTGTAACGTGAGTAACCATACATGTACATGCAGGTGTAATGTGAGTAACCATACATGTGTAATGTGAGTAACCGGAATTAGCATGTATAAAAGAAGATTATATGAGCTGACTGTAGCTCACGGATATGCTTTATATACAAATAGCACACAGAAATGCTTTGTAAGCAAATAACATTCAAATTTCCCATTTTGAATGGAAAACAATGAAGGCAGTCTAGCATTACCCATAATGCACTGCACACTGTCTGAAATGAGCACTTGGGAAGAAAAGCACTATACGGGGTGCTACGTGTACATGTACATGTATATCCAGGAGAAGTGGGTTGACCGTGGTGGTAAGAATGAATACCAAGCATCAGTGATGCATCCAGCTGGGAACTGCAACTACAAGAGATAAGATCAATCTTTGACAAAAGCTGGAAACAAAACTAGATGCACCTGCAGTTGCGAACAACAAGGTCACTTGAAGTTTTCTGTGAAGTTTTAGTTCCATCATGCCCAGAACCTTTGGCTGAATGGTTACTGATCTACATTTACTTTTCCTACGGATAAATGCCCTATGCATTTTTATGTTTGTGCAAAATGTAACGTGAGTAACCAATTTTGTGTGCCTTATGTATCATGCTTAACCACTTGCTGCAGGGTGCTTTTAAAATGCAGTGCACACATACGGGAGATTTTCAAGATTTTCAGTTTTCAAAATTCTTCAAAAACTCATCATTTCATTTAATGGATGTTTACACCCACAATGACTGTTTGGTGGCTACTTTAAGCTGACAGGCAACCTTCATTGACTCCTGAGTATTTCAGCCAGGCCTGCCACCCTGTAAAGAGAGCCCAGAAATAAGAGGTGTTGCATATTTTCCTTGTCAACAGTGAATATGAGTGGTATCTTTTCAAACGTGGCTGGATATATGCAGCAGTGCTGTGTCACTCATCAATGGGGCCCTGGAGCGCTATTGTCCATGGTGCTAATCTGTAGGTGCGCCATGCCCAAAACAGTGGTTTACTGTTTAGAAACAGTGAAGGATTACCTTCGCAAAATGCAAGCCAAAAAACAATCGCAGTTCCGAGTATGGTCTTTTGTTACACGGACCAGCTCTTCAGTCCCATTTCGGGCATTGCGGCTCTGCATATAAACCCATGCTTATTATCTGTGGTTATTAGGTAGGCCTAGGTATGCACTAGATACTATGGAGTTAACAATAATTGAACATTTTACAGGAAAATAATTACAGCCAAAAGAAACTCAAAAGTACATGAAAAACACAACGAGAGTAACCATGGAACTGCCGCCAACACTATTGTAAATATGGTACCCCGTATCCTCCAGTGGTCTGCCCCTCTTCTATACCCTATTGCTCCATATTAACCATTTACATCTACCTTGTCTCTAAATCCCTCTCCAAAAATAAATCTGTGATCATAATAATGAACAAATAAATTTTTAAGAGAGGACAAATAGTCTTAATGTCCTCCAAAAACACCTTCCTCAGGCTGGTAGACCTAATTCCACTCCAACACCTACTGCCATGCTCTTTGTTACTTGTATACTCTGCAACCACCATCACAAGTTGAACACCCTCATCCCCATCCACACCCCGCCCACACCCTTGGGTTTCTGTCTGTGCCCTTTCCATGTTAATCAGGTTGGTGCATATCCCATCCCACCACTGATTACCTTTACTCATTGAACATGGGCAACCCAGTGTCAATCTAAGTAATCTAGCTCTCTTCTGAGAGGAAAAATGAGAAGCAAACTCTAAAAATGGCTCCACCATTGCCTTTTATTCATATTCACTCACTTGACAAAATAAACCAAAAATTAACATTTTGAAACTTCAAATATAAGCGGAGGGTCCTATTTGCACCCCTAAAGTCCTTCACTGAGGCAACAAACTTTAATGACATCACGTACCGGCTACACATTAAATGTATACATGTACTAGGCAATAGAAGGCGAACTGTTAGATCATATGAAGAATTCTGAATTTTGAGGGACTCATAACACAAACTCTTATATACATGTATGTGTCTAGGGAAGTTCCCTGAAAAAAGGGTTTTTTTTTTTAATCCTAAATTAGATACATGTAACAGGATTCATTTCCAACATTTTGGGATCTTTTGCAAAACTTCTGAACATGGACAAATGATACAAGTGACCGCTGGCTGTTCGACAGCACGAGCGTTCACAAAACGTTTCCTGAAAGTTGAGTGCGTAGAAATAGGACTGCATAGATTTAGGGGGCCTGACGATACATTACTACAATACAATGTAGTTCATGTAGTTATAAATCACGATAAGGCTATAGCAACAGGCCTACATTATAAATTTACATATATGTAGGCAACAGGCGTACTATACCTCACTGGCCTACATGTAGGACCTAAATGTATATGCACCAGTATATGTAGTAGGTATGTGCAAACACGCCGTACGCGCGACCTCCGAAAGGTGCCCACACAAGTGTTAGCCCGATTCTCTGCCTGCACGGCTGATTGGCTGTTGTAAGGAGTCTGACCAACAAATTAATGAATATGTAATGTGAAAAACACAAAGTTCATGTTCGTTTTTGAAATTTTCCAATCAACCTCGAGGAAGTGAAAGTTTGAGCTTGAAATTCCACCCAACTAATCCTGATTTGTAACAAAGTGTTGTCATTTTAAGGTGAATCATTGTGAAACATAACTCTTGAGTTGTAAGTGGGTGTAATTGGAGCAAATTCTGAAGCTCCAAAGGGTTTTTTTTTTTATCGGACTACAGGGTGTTCAGTCCCATGTGGTGCAAGCGTGCTGTGCACGCCATCTTGCCATGATTCATGGCGGCACGGTCGCGTGCTGAAATGTGCTTGCGTGTCACTGGCTTGCAATGTTTGTATCATGCTCATGATGTAGCTGCCTACAAGAATTGAAGAAATGAAGAACTGATCAAACGAATTTTGTAGGTGAACTGAGCTCAGTCCATCCGCTTTTGATTTCACATGAAATTTGAAATTAGCTTTCTAACAGTATGTAAGACCTCGAATGGCCTAAGTTCAAGGGAAAGTGACGCGTGACGCATAACGCAAAGCAATGATTGTGGGTCACAGTTTTTTCAGAAGATTCCTATGCTATTCAATACAAACACGGAAGCACAAATACGCTCGTTTAAAATCCTTCAAAAATCACAATTCCCCAACCCAACATCGCATAGGTCCTAGCTAACATTGCTTTTGGTATCATTAGAAAGCTTATGTTAAACCTATCTTTTGGCATATGTTACATCTAAATCACACTAACTTGACAAAAAATTGTCACATGCCTACATGAAGCCTAGCTACATGTACAGGTATGCAGCCGCTAGCCTACCTGTCACCTGTGTAGCCTAGCACCAGCCATGCTAGCACTGCAGGCTAAACATGCTAGGGCCTTAGGCTAAACATGCTAGGGCCTAAAGCCATCTTTACAAACAATCTGAAAAAGTCAAACAATTGACGATTACTTTTGTTAGTTACATACACAGTTGAAAAGAATGTTAATTACTCATTTGCATACTTACAATGCCGAAAACATGGGAGACCGATGGTAACACTTTATTAATTTACTTCCGTCATAGTGTAAGTCGGCAGCACACATAAAAATAGTACATGATCGAATGACACAAATCAATGGGATCGGATGTGATTATACTCAATACGCATTCCCTGGTCAGCTACCCTGGCGACAAAAAAAAGCACATGGGGGATATGAATTCAAACGCGAAAAACACATCGGGGTACCAGTCTGATGAGATTGGTTTGAGAAAAACAAACATGGGGTGGCGCTCTTAATAATTATTAGCCAAGCGTAATCGATCGGGGGAGGGGCCAAAACCCAGAGTAATTGGTGGGGGAGGCGTGAATCACTATCATTGTTGCTCAATACCAAAAACTGTAAGTCCATCACACACAATAAATGTCAATGAAAGAACACACAGATTGAAACGGAAACTTGAACCTTAGAAGGCTGGGGCGGAACCCCACGACATCGTCGCACGCGGGGAAGTTTTAGGTTTTAGTAACTTCTTGCCGTAATTTAGACAGTACTGAACATCGGATTGTGACCCGTGCTCAATGCAAACGACTGCGGCTAACAGAGGTTACCATAAGAAAAAAAAACGAACAAAACCGCAAGTCAGATTGAATCGAAACCTCTCTGATGTACTGTTAACTAAGGAGTGTCTTTACATGTATACTGGTTTTCATGAAAATCGCGCTTGGGAAACTGAGCCAAGTTCTTATTGGGTGCCGGAATCCACCCCCCCCCCCAGCTGTGAGATCATTGGCCCGAAATATCCTGGCTTTTTAGGGATAAAAGTTCCTACCAGTAATTGTCAAGCTTACGGTCGGTCCCTAAGTATCCTAAACCCCAACCGATGCATATCCGGGGGGGGTGCCACCGAAATATTGAATTCTTTGCAAAGAATTGAAAGCGCACTTCCCCCTAATGTAACAAATTCATATTAGATCATTTCGGACAGTGTATTCACTGACAATCCAGCTCATCTCCTAAAGTTGGTTGGCAAAGACTTTGACTCAAGCTTAAGTTTTCTTCGTTTAACGTGTAAATTCGTTAAGTTTATTTTTTAAATGGAATACGTTCTTGCATGTTATTACTCCCAGTGACATTTTGGGAATGAAAATGGTGTTAAGTAGAATGCGCAAAAGTAGAATAAAAACAGTGAGTTAGCAGGATGTGTCAGAAGTGACGTGTTGCTGACTTATAAGAATACAGATAGATAACGAAATAGCCCCGACTCAGCTAACTACACAATTAATGACACTACAATTGTATGACAATTTGATATTTCGATATTCTGGCCCGTTCGATATCTAACAGCGCATGCCCACAACCACCAGGGTGGAAATCTCTCCTCGATCGTGTGCCGGGGGGACATCAATTTACACTTTTTTTGCACAACGCGTGTTTGTTATTTTATTCCATTCATAAAAATTCAAACGGGAAAATCCTCGATCCATCCATTCCTTTTGTATTTTGTTTTGCTTAAAACATGGAAGGGACATGCGACATTGTGTCCCCCATACCAATTCATCGGGGCGGCTGTCCACCCGGGATTTCCGCCCATGGCCATAACGAATTCGAACATTAGGGAAAAACGGATTTTTTTCATAATCATACATGTACGTCCACGTGTTCACTCAAGAACAGCGAGAACTACATTGCAAGGCGCGCGAGGTCGAGGTCGGCAGTGCATACATGTTTGTTTGTTTTTAAATTGTTCTAAAAAGATAATGCACAGATTCAGCACAAAAATAATAATGTGTTGCGCATTATCTTTTCATTTCATTCCCTTTCATGCAGTTTGTACTGACCCTAAACATTAACAGCCGACTTATTTTGGACCATCTCACAGCCAGGGGAGGGGCGGATTTCTATAAGAACGCGTCTCTCGAGTCACAAGCGCCCGTCCGATAGAAAACTTAGCACGAATGTGAAACTTGCAGTTTTGGGTCCACACACGTGTGAGCCCGCCAGCATTGAATGGAGTACAGAAGCAGAAAAATATACATATTTGACTGTAACCTGTCTCTGAAAAATGGGTGCTGCGTCAGAACAACATGTTCAATTTCCCTAGACAATTGCTGTGAATTGATGAAAAACCTCCTAAATGTTCAGCTAGTAGAAAAAAATTGCGCTGCGGCGGAAGAAAAAATGTCAGGGGCGGATTCTGCCTCCCGGCTTATCCTTATTGCGATTAGAAGAAAAAGATGAAAGATATATACTAATGCCTGAAAACGAACTCCAACACCCGTACGTAATTATTATCATTATTAACTCGTAAGTATATTCTCATAAGCTGGCCATTTTAAGAATGCTGTTTATGGAATTATTCTAGAAAAACCCAGACATTTCATTTGATCTGCAGTACAACAGGCCTGGCAAACTCGTTCTCAGCATGCACCGCTAGCGCTGCTCGACATTGCTTTATGACCGGGTGAGGGCGCGCTCGCCGATGATCAGCAGAGCAGCCGCCGGAGGCCACGTCAAGACTAGCCTAAAAAACAGAAATTGAACTAAAGTTTGTTATTATAACTTCGTAAACAAAGTCGTGCTCCTGCTTCCAGCATTGTCCAGCTACAGTAAGGCGCTGGCTAGAACTCCCATCTGTGACTTCAACAGGAATTGTAGACATGTCATACAAGGCGGTTATCCTTATTGGAGGACCACAGAAAGGTAAGGGGAGGCATTTTCTGCCGCTGGATAGCGAGTAAACATAAACTTTATCGCCCGACTATCAGGACAATGTCCAAATGTTAAAAAAGGCAATTCATAGAGTCCAAGTTACTTAAACTACATGTAGGTGTTTTCATGGTTACAGAATAGGAGCATGGGCACGACATAAGCCTTATCGCAAATACTGCATGGGTGATTTTGCACAATGGTAGAAAGGCATTGTGGAGATGAGGGAAAGAAAAAGGGGTAATGTTTGCTCTTTTTTCCTTGCCACATTGCCTTTCTACCATGTGTAAAATAAATCACCCATGCAGTATTTGCGATAAGGCTTATGGCATATTGGGATTTCTGGTCAGATCGTACTTGAGTTAAGTCATACCCTGGTCAACTCTTACCCCAGTCAAGTCGTACCTGAGTTAAGTCATACCCTGGTCAGCTCGTACCTGAGTTAAGTCATACCCTGGTCAACTCGTACCCCAGTCAAGTTGTAGCCCAGGCAACTCGTTCCCTTGATGAGGATTATGGTTTGTTTTTTTTCCCGTTTTACTCCAAACGGTTTAATTTTATTGATGATTACAATTCTGTTTGTTGTTACTTCCGGTATATAATAATTTTTCCTCCCCTTTTGCACTTAATTAATTATTATCATATAATCATTGTTGATTTTTTTTGTAAGGATTGTGTTTTTTTTTTATGTGCAGCCAATGGTAGATACTAGGGACGATTCATGTATTTATTTTAATTATTTTTATTATGATAATTATCATTAATTAATTACTTTATTAATGATTACAGTTCTTTTTGCTTTTTGTTGTGCAGGGCTGGTACCAATATGAAAATTTTCCATCCCAGGCCACCATTATTGGTCAGAAAAGAAAAAAACCGACAAGGACAGAGTATCTTTTTTGCTTTAATAGACCATCAAACAAACGACAGGCACATACATCTCTTTTTGAAGATGTGTTGGCTCTGAAAAGAGCTGGTTGGTTTGTATTGCCCCCTGCTACTTATAGTGCTTGGCTAGTGAGGTGCTTGCAGGCAGCCAGTAAGCTGGATGTCGTCAAGTCCCTGTTCTTGCACCGCTCCCATAGCTTAAACACCTGCCCTTGGAATGTCTTGACCTTGTTCTGCTGGTGTTGTTGTAGCTTGGATGCTTTCAGTAGCCACATCTGGATCTTGATCATAGTTGCCGCGCTGTGAAGTAGTACAACCACTGTGTAAAACTGAACACAGTGGTGGCCTGCCCTCCTGTTCAGCCGACGATGCCACCCCTCGACATTGTTGTTGGTGTGTATGGCCCTCCTGAAGATGGACCAGTTTGCCGGGCTCCAAGTGCTGTGCAGTAGCCACGTCGCATCGATGTACTGACAGAGTACATGTACGGTAGTTTGAGGGGCTCAATTGATGCTCGGGCCTGAAGGTAGCGGAAGGCCTCGTCGATATGCTCGGCACGCAGGAATGGGAGAGACATCAGCTGCCCGATTTAGTCTCCCACTGCTGGATCTCGGTTGTGAGGAACTTGAAGGCCCAGCACCTGGCACTTCTGCCATACCGCCTGCGTCCAGTGGCAAAGGCATTCTGCAATGTTAACCTGTGGGAACACATCACTACAGATGGCAGACCAGACTCCCGCCTCGAAGTCCATCATGGCCTCGTGACAGTTGCTGCCTCTTGATGGTAGCTTCTTTTGGATACACTTTGACACCTGCATGGAGATATCCGGAAAAAGAAGCACAAAAAGTAAGCACAACACTGTTAGACAGTTGTGCAATTTTAAGGAGAAAATTAAACATAAATTAAGATAAGACTTTTTATTGTCAGCTGAAAGGACAGCTGAAAAGATGTCAGAATAAAAAAAAAAATTTGCAAAGTAATTTCTTGACAATAAATACAGAAAGCAGACTGGTCGGTGTGAAACTTTCCAAGCTGATCACAAGATTTTTTCAAAAAGTAATGTAAGAGTAGAAACTATTAAAACATACCTTCTTGTAGTCCTTCGTGATCCTCCTTGACATCAAAACAAAGGCCAGTGGTACTTGCTTACATGTAACTTTGCCCGACTCAGCTCTGATGAACGCATGTATCGAAAACAGCTGCACAAATGGACGCCGCACAAGCTTGAAGGTATTGTCAAGATACCAAGTCTTGGCGACATCCAGAACAGCAAGCTGGTCCTCGGTGAAGAACAGGAGATGGCATGCTCCCCCACTCTTGATGGAATGAAGTCGGCAGCCACCCCGAAGTCAAGGTTTCATAGTTCATGAAGGCGCTGCGATTGACGAACCCGGTTTGCAGTGCGTCTCAGGTACAACGGGTTGGGGCAGCTGGCTGGGGCAGTAGTCGCAATGGCTCTCAAGACTTCCTCCACTAAAGCTCCAGCTGGGCAGAAGACTTCTTCTTTTGCAGCCCTCTTCACGGTTGCGACTGCAATATCACCTCCAGGCCGGGCAGGGTGGATGTGGGTAGTGTGCATTCCAAAGGAGAAGTCAAGCCCTTCCTGACGGACTGACACCCGGCATCTACTCGACTTATTATTTTTTTTTTTATGAGGTGGATGTTGGTTTCTGCCACTTTTGGGTATGTAGGTGTTACCATGGCTGTCAACCAGAATGGGCTTGTTGCATTGAGTACCCCCGTCGACAACCTTGAACGTAACCTTGTCTTCTTCACCAAGGTCGGCAGGTCTTCAGGCATGGCAGGTTGTGGGGTACAGGGACGGTAAAGTCCGATGTCACATCGAACTCCATAGACATGATAGACTTTGAGCTTGGAGAGGATGGAGCTTCGCTGTCAGCACAGATCTTGCAGACCCAGACGGGAAGACGGTCGGGGTCATCAACGATCCGCCGATGTTCTTAGTGTGTGATGCCGGTGTCACACTCTTGGTGCTGCCATCTATAACAAATGTCGTACCGGAGGGCTTCATGAGAAGAGCGGACGACCTTGCTGCACTTGATACATGGAAACTTTGTGCCATCTTGATGAAAAGCTGTACTAGGATTGCAATAGGATTGCAAAATTTAGAACTGGTATCACAATTGGACAGTGGCTGTGAAGGGTTTTGAAGGATTCAGTGCAATGTGCCTTCAGCCAATCAGGTCTCATGTCTTCTTCAAAGGATGTGGCATTGAAGCCGCTTTCAGTACCAAGCAACTGATGACTGGCCTGCCACGTCCTTTGAAGTGCCTTCACAACGATGGACACTGCCGGCCAAAGCGCGTGCATCATGCAAGATGGTTCTACTTCGTAAAGCAGCATATCGATCATGGCAAGATCATTTAGTGATGTTTCTCACGGTAAATGATAGCGATCCATCACATCAACATCCCCTCTTCCCAAACAGCATTCATTCTAGATGAGAGTTTATTTGACTTCTTTCAACCCAGTTGGCCTACTTCAAAAATCGCTTCTTCTCCCTAAAAGAAGCTGTGACATCACCCATACATGTTCGATCAGAGTATATTCACTGATTTTTACTAATTCACATTAATCAAGCCATACAAAAAAAAACAGATTTACATGCATAAATTTAAAATGGACAAAGACATTGACTTGATGGAGAGGTACATGTACGTCTGTGGAACATCTCTGTTCAGGGGCGCATCCTGTAGTCAGATGCATTTTATGTCCTACTTCTGAAAACGGTGGGAATTTTCAATGAAATCCGACTGGTAAAAGGAACTGTATACATGCATTCAATAAATGTGGGCATCAAAAACCTATTATGCTCTGCTGACTGGGCCTGGGGAGTACGAGTTTGTTTCTTCATTCAATTGGGGACCCTGAACATTAGAGGACAATAAGGTCCCTGATTGTCCGAAGGTCCCCGATTGACAACTGTGTACAAAACATATGGGAGGTCTTCTTAAAAAGTTAAAGTACAAACAAAAGAGGAACAATAGGGGGTCCCCAGTTGTAGGCAAATACACACGTCTGCGAGTTGACTTGGGTACGAGCCAACCTGGGTACAAGTTAACTCGGGGGCGAGTTGGCCCATTGTGGCATATTGCATGATGGTGGAGAGAGCTAACATGTACATGTATACATGTACATGCTGGCCCTCTCACTAATGTCTGTTATGCGTGGCCTTCACCAGTCACCAGGTTCCTAATTTCACCACCTACATGTACCGGTAATTGTCAAGTCTTACTGGTTTTCACAGTAAGTGGCGAGATAGAATGCCTGGCGGCTATACGGTCACCAACACTACTTGACATGTAGGCCTACATGTACGGGTATTATCCAAGCATGCCAGAATAGCTCTGACATGTCTGAAGCTCGTACGTACATATACTGTACAAAACATGCCTGTACATGTACATGTAGCATGACTAACATTAGTGACCAGGGCATACGTGTATGTCAAAGAACCTTGGCCAAGCAGTAAACGGTACCCAAGGCAGTGTAACTCAGTTATGCCCTGTTACCTACAGTGTACATGTACATATATTGTGTATGGCATGCTATGGAGGAATATTTACTGCATAGACACTGCTTGACACTAAGGCCTGTGCACAAACCTTATGAGACTGGTGTGAAAAATTTTAAGTGTTTTCTGCGGGAATACCCCAATATTTTCACTGCTAAATTTGACTTTTTAGCGCATTTTATTGCTTGCAGCATCCATTTATCAAATTTTCCCAAGTTGTAATAAATTCATATTGAGTCACGAATTTCCTGGTGTCATGAGCATTGGTGCTAACGTTACTCAAGCAAAACATTTACTCAAGCAAATCCAAAAGCTGAAGACACTATAGAGAGGCCCCATTGTAACTAAGCCCCCCACCCGTAGCCACATTCCTCATACAACCCTACTCACCTCAGGTTTGCTAAAACTGCTAGTTCCTGACTTGTTTTTTCATGAAATTTTGGTCTCTGTCTTTTTTCAGGAACTCGTTTCCGACCATTGTCTCTTGAGTTCCCCAAGCCTTTGTTTCCCGTTGCTGGTTTTCCTATTATTCATCATCACATTGAGGCATGCAGCAAGGTATGCTTATATATTTTTATCAAAATGGGGGCAGGGGAGTGGGTTAGCGTAGCAGTGCTTTCCTCAGTTTGCACCAGTGAGGCCCAGGTTCGAGTCTCGGCTTGGCTCAAGCTTTTAAGTGCATTTGGTTTCCAGTCCTTACTGGCAGGTTTTCTCCGGGTACTCCGGTTTCCTCCTGCCTCTAAAACTGGACTTTCTGCCTAACTCAATAGGGACCCCATTGGGAATAAATCGCAAAACTTTCATGGTCTATCCCTGGTCATGTATTTCTCACTTCTGGTACATGTACATGCATTATAACATACACTCCCAATCAGATTAATTAATGTATATAATGCAGAATCAGAGAATGCTTAAAAAAGAGGTAGGCCTAATAATTTGAACTAAATGAAGACCAAGAACAGTTTGGTGTATGATGACTGTAAGAATAATGTACTTGAATGCAAGTCACAAAATGGGTGAGGAAACAGCGCCAATGCAAGACTACATGAGTAAAATGATTGAGGTTGCTCCATGTATCAATCGCTTGCTTGAGTATGTGTAGTTCTGAGAAGAACCAGGGAATAACTCGACCTTTCGAACAGTGTACTCTGTCCGTCTTCAGGTTCTTCTCAGAACCACACATACTCGAGAAAGAGATTGATACATGGTGCAACCGCAATCATTTTACTCATTTAGTTTCTTTCACCATGAAAACCTTCAAGTCTTAAATGCAAGACTACCTTGCTGTGAATACCTTGCTGTGAAATGTGACTGGCTTTGTTTGGATTAATGTCTACACTTTTGGTTCACAGAGGGCTACCTCTGTACCTGTTTTGCTGGTGCATTGTCTGTTACTTCCTGGCACATTTGAGGGCGCTATTACCATGGTGTCACTTTGGGCAATAACTTTAGAGTAGTAGAGATTATACATACCTACTCTTTGACTCATTGTAACTGTTTGTTCATGAAGCTTCCAACATTTCCTGTCACATGCTGAATGAGCCAGTTTGATATTCCAAACTGAAGCACGTCCGACGTCATTCTGGACAAAGCAGCATGCGCAGCATGCGCCTGTGATTGTCTGCCCTGTCTGTGCAGCAATATACCGACTCACGTGCGCACTTTGTCCTCAAAAGATGTTGCCTGTTTGAAATACTGAACTGGGTCATAAGCATGTATGCATACATGTACATACCATTACATAGTTTGTATGTACTAAACATACATACAGAAAAGGCCAGACTATTACCATGTCAAGCCCTCTAAAAAGTACATGTATGTTGCAAAGAGTTCTTTGCTACTGAGTTTCTTTATGCTGAAGCTGCTAGCTTCACTCTGAGCGCTGATGAGATGGCATCCCTGTTAGCTCATGAATATTGAAATTAACACCACCCTCCAGAAACACCCCTTCCAGCAACTCATATCATTTCATCTTTGTTGGCAAAAGATTGGATATGCTAAGGCTGTGTCAGTTATTCAGATGTATATGCAGATACTTGATTGACTTATGACTATTCAAATAATGTAGTTTTGAAATTTATCCAATTGACTCAGCCCCAGGATATGTAAAGTGCATTTAAGAATTCTGTAAAAAAAAGAGAAACATTTGTAGCAGAGGCTCTTCACCATCCTCAGTTATTGGAGTTAGAGAGATTTATTTCAGGTGGAAGATCTGCGCGAGATCCTCATCATAGGTTTCTATCAGCCCAGTGAGGCACTCAGCCGATTCCTTACAACTTCACAGCGAGAATTCAATGTCAATATACGGTAAGCACTCATTGAAAGTTCATTAATTGCAATGTTGTTTTCTTGACACCAAAAGAGACAGGTTCTTTTGGACCATGTCACATACACTTCAGCATGTACACAGATATAAATGGCAATGTAAAAGAAATTTAAAAAGGAGACAGGGAACATGCACTATTAAAAAAGGACATTTTGGGAGGGGTTATTGAAGGGGTTTACATGTACTTGCCAAAGCTTACATTGCATAGTAGTGAATTTATTTGACTCGTGATCAGGTGATGTAAATGGCCATTGTGATATCATGCTTCTTGGACATTTCAAACCTCTTTGTATTCTCATTCAGTCTCCGGTTATTTGGAGATGAAGGATTCTTGAGACAGACAAATACTGGGACAGTTCTATTGATCAGTAAACTTGGTCTGTCTTGAATTAGACTACTAAACTGAAATGAAATGGTGTATCTTGGTGTAGATACTTACAGGAGTACACTTCCCTGGGCACAGCTGGTGGGCTGTACCACTTTAGAGATCAGATTCTCAGTGGCCAACCACGTGGCTTCTTTGTCTTCAATGGTGACCTGTGCTGTAAGTTTCCACTGCTTGAAATGCTGGAATTCCACAAACAGCAGGCCAATGGTCAGCACTTCACTCTGCTGGCAACTGAGGTAAGGACTTTTTGAAATAGTCATCAGTAAGGTTCATTGCTCCATAGACATACATTCTATCCCTGTATAACATGACTGATTATTTGCTAGTGATGTGATTGAGTCCCTGATAGTGCATAAAAGATGACCTGTGGCAAAAATTCATGTACTCCTTTGTCATTGTTCACCTGTTACTTACATGCATGACTGGTCACGTGAAAGTACTAGTGGTGTGTCATGTGATGGACTTGACCTCTATACTCTCATCAGCCTGAAAATTGTTTTGAAAGGTGAAGTTTTATAAGTATCACAGAGAACTTGGGGGAGATTGAAGGTAGCCCCCTCCACATTTGCTTGCCTATTGCCAGCGTGATTGATGCTAATTGGTACTACATATTGTTAGTACTTGTAAGGCCTCTAAAAAGTATGCATGTGAGCTATATTTTCCAAATATTCAAAGCAGCTGTGCAGACTTACCATTTGAATTACTTGGCTAGATTGTAATTTAGTTATGGTTTTCACCCTTTATGAGAATTGAGCTTTTTTCTCTCTTTTTAACAGGCACCCAAGAGCCAGTCATTAAACTATGGATGCTTAGTGAAAGATCCTGACACACATGAGGTGAGTGCTGAAATGTACATGCGAGAGAGGTTAATTTAAAAAAGACTCATCCAGACAAGGATTTGGGCAGAAAGTTTTGACTTTCAGAAAAGGCAAGATGCAGTGGCTAAGTTTTGACATGAATCCAAATGCCACAAATACTGACTTGTTAGGATCAATCAATCGCATGATATTTTTAACCCCAACCTTGTATTTTGCAATTCTCCGGGATGTCGCAATGAAGCATTGTTTGCTACAACAGTAGGCCACGTACATCAGTCAAGTGCACCACACAAACTCCTAAGACTTCTGGAACTCTGCATGTTTGTGTCCAAGTCAAATAGATAAACCTGAATACGTGTCCAAAGTCAGTGACTCAAGGCGCTCATGGCAGTTAGCCACTCAGCCAACCCTGTGTATGCAGGCTACCAAATTGTGTTCACAATTCCTCTGGTATGAACTGGGTAATTATAACAGTGTGGCCTTAGCATGCAGGATTTGTAGGCCATGTCAGCATTACCCTTTTGTACTCTCTAATTAAGCGTACCTTTCCTTTCCAAGGTCAGTGACCAGTGCATGCCTAAGTTGAAGGGTGTTTGAGGGTACAAAAACACAAGGGTTAAATGCTTATCCTTTTTTTTTAAGGTGTTACACTATGTGGAGAAACCTCAGACGTACGTCAGCAGTATCATCAACTGTGGCTTGTATGTGTTCACACCAGAAATCTTTGAGCATATCTCTACAGTCTTCAAGAAAAATCAGGATGAAATCTTCAAGTAGGTTGAATTTGTCACTGTAAGCACAGTGTCGTATACATTATAGGACCCTGTTATTTTACACCACATTGAAGGGGAAAATTTGTATGAAACGTAGGTGGCGTTTTGTTTGCAAAGTATTCAGAATGTTGTACTGGGTCGGATCAATAAACTGGAAAGTCAGTCAATTGCAAATTGGGATTCAATTATTTGAAACTGCTATCACAAACTTAATTGCTGATTAATGGATAAAAAAAGTAACCAGAAACCTGCAGCAATAGCTGGTTCCTTCTACACAGACTACATACAGAGTGAAATTAGACCAAAGCAAAACCATACATGTACATGTATCATTCCGCATATCCTGTGTGCAGTGCATGTACATGTACATTAATAAAGAGTCGTATTTCAACAGTGCGTGCTCAAAATGATTGTCATTCAAGAGCATCTACTTATATACACGTACATGCACGCGACGCTGGTCCTGTTAGCAAGGTGTTGGGCCAACTCACACACACTGCACATGTCCAAACTGATGTGACATCAGGTGCCTAGCTGCCGAAGGGCCTTGGGGTTTTTTTGCATTATCAAACTGGTTCATTGTTCCTCTGGGCAGTGGGGATCCCTTCTCAAGCAACAAGGACACCATTCGTCTGGAGCAGGACATTTTCTCCCCCCTGGCGGGCACTGGCAAGCTCTTTGCTTACAACTGTGAAGACTTGATGTGGAGTCAGATCAAATCAGCCGGGTGAGTTGGAGCATCACGGTCCCTGGTTATAATCCTAACCTCCACACTCTGTAGGGTTCTCTCCAGGCACCCTGCTGTGTGTAACAGAATGCAACACAGCTGAAAGGAGACCACCACTGAATGGAACAGAGTGTGTCAGAATGCACCAATGGATTTTGCAGCACTGTGCAGTGCACTTGATGAATACCTTTCTTGGCTCTGTCAAGTTACACAGTTGTCTCTGCCATTTGAGCTCACTCAAATGCAGCAATTATTTAACAACTTTTAAATCACTTCTGCAATTTATTGCAGGAACTCGGTTAACCTCTTGTCGCCGGGGTTTCCGCTACCGGACACGTACATGTATGCTTTATACGCATAGCTGGTGTCTCTGAAATCGGAAAAAGGGAACCGGGCCTTGTAACAAAAGACTGTACTCGTAACAAAAGACCAGGCTGCTGGGTATTACCGACATTTTGTCACTCTCAATAGTGGAGATAATCCAGCCTTGTTTTGAAACAGTATACCACGGTTTGGGGGATTTAGCGCGAGCGGATTACCAGCAGGGAGAAAAGTGCTGCACCACCGCTGCTAATCTGGCCCCTATTGAAAAGAGGTCAGCAGCACACTGTGCCAGGTTCGTGAACAAAAGAAAGTTACATAACTCTGCACAATCTGGGCTCTTTTTTACAAGGCTGCAGGCCTGGCTAAAATACTCGGGCGTCAATAGATTTTGTCTGTCAGATTAGAGTAGCCAGCAGACAGTCATTCGTGCGGATGTAAACGTCCATTAATGATGAAGTTTTGAAGAATTTTGAAAACTGAAAGTCTTGAAAATGGTCCGCTTGTGTGCATTGCATTTTTCAAACCGCCCGGCAGCAAGTGCTTAATGTGTTTCTGGTTAGAATTTTGGAAGGGGGTGTGTTTAAAAAACAATGAGGTCCAATTTTTCAGGACCTACACTTCCTAGACTGTTTTTGAATACATTAAAGAACGCAGGGGTCCAATTAAAACATAAAACTTCAGAAGCAGGAACTTGCTTTTATGTGCTTTTGATGTCAAATGTTTTTTTGAGGATAGTTGTGTCAGGTCCAGTGGCGTATTCAGCAGTCACAGATTATCCAGCATTCTATGTGTAGAAGAAATCATAGAGATCATTAACAGAAGCAGGGTCTGAACCTGTAACCTACCGAGTGCAACACAATTGCTCTACCATTACATTGTGGTTGGTAACTTATCCACTGCACTCCACCACAGGTCAGCCATCTACGCCAATCGACTCTACCTGGGACTCTACCACGACACTCACCCGGAACGGCTTGCCAAGGATGCTGCAAGCGGACCACACATCATCGGGGATGTCTTCATCCATTCAACAGCCCGGGTGGATCCCACAGCTACTGTAGGTGTTTCCCGTAATTTTTCTTCAATGATCGGCCCTGTGTGCCTCACTTTTCTGCAGAAGACCTCGCAAAATCATTTGCTTATTAACGTGATCAAATTTTCCAAACTGAAGCAGGGAATTTTGATGCTGAACAATTCTCTTTCCCCACTGTAAATCTTCCTCCTTCAAATTGATCCAAAGTGAAAAATTTTGTCTGCAGAAAGCTTTCATAATACAGGTAATAGAAGCTGCGAAATTTTCATTGTTTCAGTGTTTCCAGACAGTACCATATCGTACTTCTGCCTGTGTTTGGATTGATGGGCCACATATTAGCTTCTCGCTTTTCTGGTATTTGAAAAAATTATTGGATCCAATTCTTTTTTATCCAGTCCGTATTTGAACACTTATTGAAAGACTTCATTGACCTTTGGCTAGGTGTAAATGCACATTTCATTTTCATGTGTTTATTTGTGGCCTTTAGTGTTATGTCACTTTCTTGATTTGCAGTTGGGTCCCAATGTGACAATAGGTGCTGGTGTTCTGATAGGACCTGGTGTCCGAGTCAGGGAATCTATCATCCTGGAAGGTGCCAATCTACAGGTAAGTGTGGGCCAGTGAAGTCTCAAAACTGCATGGGTGCACATCACCCTCTGCAGTACATTCAGTACTTCCCGTACCCTCAACTGTGCTCAATTTGACACTTACATGACTTCTCACGTTTTACTCAGACCTGGCCTCAGTAATCGACCTGCTGAGCTGGTTATTTGGGGAAGTATCGCATCATACAATGCATAAACGTAGCGGCTTAGTCAGATGTCGTGAAGGAGTGTTGACAATGTTGTACATAATTCAGAAAAAGTACTTGAATGTAGAGCCAGATTAGCTCCAGTCAACTAAGTTCTATGAAAGTTAGGCAAGAAACGCGTGTTTAAGTGGCTGTTACTTTCAACCGATCAGATTCATTTTATGAATTCAATCAATAAATGACCTCTAATTGACCTGGTCGGTGCATTTCAAGTAACCTGAGACTATGTTTTCACCACATACTGCACATGCCCATTTATACCTATGATGACACCACAGGTGAGCACAGTGGAAGTGATCAAATGCACTGAAGATAAGCAATTCACAGTATTACTCCCATAAAATAACGGGAGTAGCAGTGAAATTGAAGAGAAATGTTTGGTACCAGAAAACATTGGACCACAATTTTGTTTAGTATTTTTGTATTTTGGTTCTTGTGTCAATTGTGCTTCCTTCTCTTTGTCAAGCCTCTCACACAGTTCTTATAGGACGCAACCTCAGTCCTGTAAATCTGCCGACTGCCTCTGGAAAAATGACAGGAATGTAGGATTTGGGTAGTCTGTTTGTGGCAGAAGAACAAGTCTTATGTTAATAGGAAAAATGCAGGGTTTGGTTTGACTTAGGCTGGAGTTGGTTTTGATGCAGGGTTTGTTCAAAAGTTGGGGTTCAATATTGGCTTAGCTTTGACCTCTTATTTCACAGTAATTTGAAATTTGTTAAGGGTTCATTTTTGGTTTTTGGCATTCATTTCTCTATATTTTTTCAAGGACCACTGTTGTATACTGCACAGCATTGTGGGATGGAACAGTGTGGTAGGGGCGTGGTCAAGGGTCGAGGGTACTCCCAAGGGCCCTAATCCCAATGACAAATTTGCCAAAATGGACAGCGACAATCTGTTTGATGACCACGGTAGGCTTACCCCCTCCATTACCATCCTAGGCAAGTATCACATTTTTTTTCACACACTTAAATTACTCACCCTGTCTCTGTTAACTGACATGATATACCCAACCCCAACAAAATTTCCTTTTTGATTTTTGCTCAATAAATCAATGGATCCTGGTGGAAATTAACAGTTACTGACTGATTAATAGTTTCACTTTCTACTTAGAATTTGTGCTAAGCTTAAAATTTCAGTGCCTAGGCATGCTTAACGCTTGCTCTGCATGGAGATTTAAGCGTCGCCTTACTCTGAAATGACGGTGGTCATTGCTGCTTTGCTTTCACTGTCAGCAGAACTCCATCTGCTCTGTAATGTGTCTTGAGTGTGGGGCTGTTTGACAACTTCAAATGCACGGCACCAGGAAAGCATTGCAGTCAAAGTATAAAGGAACAAACGGCAGTCAGAGAAATAGGACTCCACTCTCACTCTGTGTGGAAAGTGTCCTGCATTTTTGTCAGTTTGAATTAACATGTTTTGTTCTTTTGATCTCTCAATTTCTGGAGTGTTTGTCATAGCAATTTATGGGCTTTTGAAAACTTAGCATGGTAGACTACGTACGCATGGTATTCATTCATTACATTATCAGGGAAGCAATGTCACATGTAATGTAAACAAATATCATTTTCATGTTCTTATTCTGTGACCACTTAGCGGTGTTTGGATGTTAGTTTCAAGATACTGCATTCCTCTTGCATATCACCTTCAGTTTAGGAACGACTGTTTGATTGGATCTTCTTGTCTTATTCTAGAATCATGCATACATGTAGTTGGACCATTCTTGGCACAAAAGCAGTGGTGACACATTTTCCTTTATGAAGCATGTTCAACTCAATGTGAGCTGGTGATGCTGGGATCAAAAGTGGTACTGGTTTTCAAATGTGGCATATAACTGTGCTAGAGTTCAGGGAGAGACTGAAGCTATGTCACTTGTCCGGTTTTGGCGTGTTGGTGTCAATCAGTTTTGGAGGACCTAATTTAACATTTAAAGATAAAAGACAAATGATGTTTGACATCATGCTTAGATTGCCACTCACACAAAAGCAGCATTTTGAGCCAGATTGCACCAAGCCTACATATACGCATACATGAACCTCGTCCTGTTTGTGTTTCCACACCCTAGACACTGCTGGAATTATTCTTTCTTGCTGAATATATGGCCCTCGTTCACTTCTCCATGCATACATATCTTGTCATGTGGTCTCTCCTTTATCGGTGTCATACCATCAGGCTGCAATGTGGCTGTCCCTGCCGAGGTGATCATACTCAACTCTATAGTGCTTCCCCACAAAGACCTCAGCTACAGCATCAAGAATCAGATCTTGCTCTAACAGCCCATCCTAGCTCTCACTTCACCATCAGTACGTACATCTGTCACCCCAAAAGGGTCGCTTTGCAACAGGTGCCACCACAAGACACCAGGCATTTTGAGTTCAGGGCCCAATTTCATAGTGCTGCGACTGCTGCCTATGACATTGCAAAAGTTGCACTTACCGTTGGCTCTGACTAGAAGCACCCCCTCAGTGGCAAAGAAGAGACAGCCTGGCAGGAGAAATTGCGACTTGGCTGTTGAGCAATGCTGTGAAATCGGGCCCAGGTCATAGGGCCAGGGTTCTGTAACCTTGTACAATTCAGTCAGGAATTAGATCCACTTTTCAAAAGACTGTCTGAAAATGACAGAGAATGTGACAGTGACTTGGACACAGACAGTTGGACTCGCTACTCAGCCTCATTTGTGGCATGCAGCATACTTCATATTTCTTTTCTTAAAACATTGATGCAACGATCCTTACATAACAGTGCAAATTGGGCATTCAAATCTGTTATATATCCGCTCATATTTATTTCTGAAATTCAGACAGCTGTGCTTTGGCGGTGGAAGGGGGGGGGCAGGGACCCAGTGTCCCCCCCCACTTTTTTGACTTGGAGGGGGCATGCCCCTCCCACTTTTTGGAGGTCCTATAATGGGATGGGGCTTAATGGATTGGCCTATTAATGGCTGATGCGTGATGGTCACACAATGCCCCCCCCCACTTTGAAAATCGTTTCGCCGCCATTGCAGCTGTGTACTTTGCACATGCTGAAGACCTCTTGCTTATTGCTACGTCTAGCTTGCTGACTGGTGGATGGTCAGCTACCAAGCAAAAACAACAAAATGATTCAAAAAGTANGTGCCTAAAGATTACTTGGTGCCGCTATAAATGACCGTTAAATGAAATGATGAATTTTTTAAGGATTTTGAAAACGGAAAAAATGATAGTCATGCCGGCCCAGCATCATCAACATTGAAAAATGCCCCGGCATGAAGTGGTTAAGGATCACTCACATCTTTAGTTCAGTAGTGTCCTTTGTTTTCGTTCATTGCTAATCGAAACATCATAATACATTAGTGGACATTCCACAGAGGCTAGTGTGATATAAAGCACACAATATATTGCAGTGGTCAGTGTGTTTCATTTGGAAGGATGGGGGAGGGATTTTCAAGGGTGCATGCACAATGCTCATTTACAGTGGATGTTTTTCTCTTAAGTTTCACATTAAACTTGAAGTCCTGAATCTCTGTGACTACAGTCAAGGTTGGTTCAAGATTCATGCAAAACAACACAAAATTATGTTAGATCAAATACCTTGAGCTGCAAATTAGCCAAACCTCTTCACTTTGAGAAGAATGCATCCACTGTTGTGTTCTATCCATTACTTTCCTCACTCTGCCTCCCCACCCTCATACATCAAAGTAGTTCACACTTCATTATTTGGACAGAATGCTAGTGTCCTCAGATTTCTCATTTTGATACCCACGAACACTTTCGAATGTTGGCCGTGTTCGCTGGATG